CAGCCAGAACAAAAGAACAAATAAGGAACTACTTAGAGAAGTCAGATGATTTTAGCTTGGCAGGGCCAACTGGGACATAACCTCTCTGCGAACTTGTAGAGGGTAGGTGAAGTCCCAGATGTTTGAGAAAAGGGCAAATATAGTGCCCATCTTTAAGAAAGGAAAGAAGGAGGATCCTAGGAATTAGTCAGCCTAGCCTCAATATCCAGAAAGATCACAGAGCAGGTCCTCAAGGAATCCACTGTGAATCATCCAGAAAACAAGGTCATCAGGAACAAGCAGAACAAGATCAAGTCATGCCTAATCAACCTGATTTCTTTCTACGATGAGATGACAAGCTGAGAGCAGTGGATGTGATATAACTTGACTTCAGTAAGGTCTCCAACACTACCTCCTACAACATTCTCATTAACAAGCAAAGGAAATACAGGCTAGACAAAAATACGGTACAAGGTGGATACATAACTGGTTGGATCACCATGCTCAACAAGCAGCCATCAGTGGCTCAATGTCTAGTTGGGAGGAGGTAGAAAATAAGGTCCCCATTAATCATTTGGATTATGGGACTGAGTGCATGCTTAACAAATTTTTGAATGACACCAAGCTGAATGGGACTGCAGGACACCTAGAGGGTGGGGCTAGGATCCCAAATGACCCAGCTATAAGGGAAAAATCATCCACAATCAATCAGATGAGATCCAGCCAGGACAAGTGCAAAGTCCTGCAACTGGGATAGAATAATTGCATACATAAACAGATTGGGGAGTGACCAGCTAGGCTGCAATAGTGCAGAGAAGGCCCCCAGGAGTTACAATAAGCTGAATATGAGCCAATACTGTGCTCGTTGCAAAAGAATCCAGTAACATACTGGGTTGCATGAACAGCCAATCAAGGGAAGCAATTCTTCCATTCTAGTCAGCACCGGTTAGGCCTCCACCTGGAGCACCGTGTCTAATTTTGGGCCCCACGCTTCAGAGACGTGGACAAGTTGGAAAGAGCCCAGTGCAGAGCCACAAAAATGCTTAGAGCCTGGAAGGCAAAACTTGGGGACATGAATGACATGTGCCACCAGAGACTGGGGGGGCATGGCGACCGCCTGCAGGTGGCAGTGAGCAGGGAGCTCCCACAAGGGTGTTGGTGGTGGGGGGTGGTGAGTACCGACCAGCAGTTGGCGACCACCCACAGATACCGCTGGCAGTTCGAGTTCCAGAGAGGATGGAGACCACGTTTCTACCTGTTCCAAAGAGAATGGAGAACACGTTTCTCCATGGCAACAGGGGACAGGACAAGCAGCAAGGAAAAAGCTGTAAAACCAGGCCATTTACATCCAACCCTGGCTTCTCCTCCATGAACCCCTGAGCCACCAGGCTCGGAGCCTAGTGCAGAAGAGCCCATAAAAGCCAACTCAAGCCCTCTCCCAGTTGTGAACACACAGGCACAGGCGAGGCTTCAATGAAAGCGCCTGCAGGGCCCCCGACAGCCCTTGCGGACTAGGGTGGAAGCGGAGAAGGATCAGGTCCCCTGCACTGGAGCCCCCAGCCCGGCGCGGGGTCCCAGAGGGGCCGGCCTAGGGGAGACGCACCGAGGGAGCCACCGCCCACCAGGACGGCGCCGGTGAGGGCCCCGGCCGAAGCGCCGTAGATGCAGCGGGCGTCACGGAGGATGCGCGGGGCCCGCTCCTGCAAGCAGGTGGCCGCCCCGATGTGGTAAACGCCCAGGAAGCCGCAGCCCGCGAAGGACACGCTCCAGCCGCACTCGTCGTCCAGCATCCCGTCGCCGAGCGCGCGAAGCCAGCAACCCGGCAACAGCGAAGGCGCCGCTGCAACTGGCGCAGACTGGGAGCGCGCGGCGCCTCTCAGGTAGCCGCAAGCATCCGGGAGCGTGGCAGAGCGTCCCTCCCCCCACCAACACTGTGATGGCACCAGTAGCTTCCGCCAATCGTCAGCGACATGCAAATCAGCACCGCGAACGGTGGGGGAGGGTGAGGGAGGAGTGCGCATGCGGGTTGCGGGGGAATGCCCGACCGACAGAGGCAGCCAAGATAGCGGCGAGATGTATGCTGACCGTCTGCTTCCGCCCCGAGCCGTGGACATATATACACACTGCTGCATTCATACACACGCACGCACGCACTGCTACATTCTCACGTGCTTTGCATTCGCACACATACTGTTGCATACATATATGCTCTGCATTCACATGCACGCTGCTGCATATACGTGCTCTTCATTCACACTCATTCTGCTCCATATACACACACCGCTGTGTACACACATGCACTCTGCTGCATACACGCAGGCGAAATGAGACTGGGAATGCCTCTGTACCCAATACATTCTGTGGTGAGGGATTAGTTAGGATGTTTTTAAAAGCTGAATTGTGACTGGGAGGAAAAACCACCTGGACCCCATTTAAGAAAGGAGAGCATTTCACCACAATTCTGGAGGTAGAGAAAGGACAAGATTTGTATGTGGCAAGTCACTCATTATTACTTACTGCTGCCAGCAGTGGTGCTCAGCTCCTCAGCCTCACAGGCCTGTTAAGTGGCATGGGGCCAAGTCTGGGCCACATCACCTGTAGGGTTGGCACTGGATTAGATGCCCAGATCAGGCACCAGATTGGGCCTGGCACCATTCAGGCCCAGCCCCACACGCCTGGATTGGGACCCACACAAATTTGTGAATCCATGGGGAGCCCAGCAAGCCTGGTGACACAGCTCCACCTCTTCTGCCAAGGGTTTTCAGGGTGTATGGGCAACTTATTCAAAACCAGCTCTTTCACTGTTGGTTGGTTCTTCCTTCTCAGAGAAGACAGGAGAGAGATTGTTTTATCCTATATGAAAGCTGGGTAGAAGGAATGGACCTGGAATGTATTCCGTCCCATAAGACAAATATATTTCTTATTTTAATTTATCTGCTCCTTGGTTTGAGTAAAAGGCTCAGACTGAACCCACTAAAGGGATTTGCCTTACCTCTTTTTGGTTGGATGGTGAGATGCAATACCATCCTATTATTATAAAAGTATAAAAACAGAAAATATTTAATGTATGTGTCATCCCCCACCAATTACATAACTGGAAAAAAAAAACTTTGTTTTACACCCCGTTCTGTGTATTAATGCAAACCTGTCCCTTAACCATTCCTTCTTGTCTGTTCCCCTTCATACAGAAAAGGCACAACTTCATTTACAATGCTCTTGCTTTCCAGTCTGATACCGTTTCCTCAGTCTGTTGCAATATAACACAAAACAGTCTTAATTATTCTTAAATAATAATCACCAGTCTGTCTGCTTCCATGCACTTTTGGCCTGCTCTTCCCCTAAGCTTGCAGTCTCTGGCATAATATGAGTGTAGTTCATTGAGGGCCTAGTCCCAGGCATTCTGTAACTCAACTGAAAATTTTAAAAAGGCAGCAGGTTTCTGGTCTTCCATAAGTCAATCCAAAAGCTACTTAGTCATTTGAAAGCAAAACCAGTCTGTTGCCTTGCCCTTTGGCCATACAGTCTAGTGGCCTTGGTTAAAGTCTTTGCTCCTGTTACTTTACAGATAAAGGTTCACACTCTGTCCCACAGTTCTTTTGCAAAGCTACACTCCCAGGAGACATGCTGCTCCATTTCTTCCTCCTTGCATCTTATTCTCGGAAATCTGGGAGACCAAACCAGCCACCAACTAGTGCCTTGCTTTTACGGATAGTACATGGCATGAAATGTGCATGTTGTGGCACCATCCCCTTGTCCTGTACCCCCTCCCATACACCATGTGAATTCCCTTTGCTCATGATTCCTCATTCTTTGCTTGAATCAGGATTATAATGATCTTGTTGCTAGACCAAAGTTCTCGATTCTCTTGGATACAAGAGGAGGTTGCCATGCCCACAGCACCAACAGTAACAAATAACCCATGCACCACTGTTGTACAGCACAGGCTCAACAAGAAAGCTAACAGTGAAATTCTCAACTGAAGCCAGGACTACAATAACCTCTCCCCCCTCAGAGAGAAAAGCCATACAATCCCTAATATCCAATCCATAATATCCAACCGGTTTGAAATAGTAAGCAAACCAGTGAACAACAGTGGAGCATTATTATAATCATCTTCAGCTTTCAAAACTAAATCAATGAGGCCAACAAACAATTCTATGATACCAAATACAGGTTGCCCTCGCTTTATGCTGTACATTTGTTCCTGGAAAATGGAGCATAACTCAAATTCACATAAAGGGAGCTTAATTTACAATATAACAAATAGGGATATGTTCCAAGACACTGACTGTACTGACCCCCTTGACTGTATTGACATGGCGTTGCGCTGCTCCCGAGGGAGGTGCAGCTCCAGAAGCAGGACACCAGCTGTTCTGAGCTGCAGACGCTGCTGCCAGGCAGCTTCACAGCTCACAGCTGACAGGACTTGACCAGACTGGGCTGCAGAGGCCAGCACTACAGCCCAGCCCAGGAGCCACCACTTGGCTCAGCCCCCACATATAATTTTTTCTTCCTCTGCCTATGGAATCACTCCCACTGGACTGCACAATGCAGCTGACTGTGGGCTTCCACCACACCAATTGCATAAGAGTAAATTTACCTCACATAAAACAAATACATTATCAAATCATTCCCACACCAGTGATGCATGTTACCAGCATGTACTCTAACATTCTACACCACAAAGGGCTAGCTGCCTGCCTGAAATACCTTTAAGAACACAGATTTACAACATGTTGCACAAATCATTCACTTCATCCTCACCCACAACCAGTGGTGGATTAAGATTTACTGGGGCCCTGGGCAAACAGAAAATTAAAGCCCCCCCCACCAAGCAAGGGCAGGTTCTCTCTGTGCTTGCCGGAGGGCTGTGGCTGGGCCCACCTGGATTCCTAGGCATGTCTGGGGTGAACCAGGGGGTGCGAGTGCCATTGAAGTGAAGGCAGCTCCAGCCCCAACCCATCCCCTCCCCCTAGTGGGTGTTGCATAGTTGGAGCTGTCGTCCCCCAGCGCCATGGAATGGGCTTGGGCCAGGGCCAGCTTGTGGGGGCAGGGGAGAGGCGGGGATGAGCTCCACCCCCCGCTGCCCACCCGCCTCTCTGCTGGCCTGGACAGGGTGGGACGAGGCTGTCCCATCCTGTCCCAATGGCACTGGTGCTTGCCACCCACAGATGGCAGGGAGTGGGAGTGGGGCTGCCCATGGGGCCTCCTGGCAGCAGATGGTCCCAGGAAACCACCACTACCTGCAGGAAGCCCTGTGCCTAACCCTAGTCTCTGGCCCTGGCTCAGCTAGAGAGGAGGAAGTGTGTGCTGCCCGCCCCATATGCCTACAGCCAGGATGCCCTCCTGGGCAATGCTGCTCCTGGCACCCCAGTGAACCCCTGATTGGCAGAGGCCCCTGGGCCTAGGCCATGGGCGACAAGTGCCTCCTGAGTTGGAAGGGGCACTTGCCCCCCTGCCCCCCCCAGAATACAGTCAGCGACTGGAGGGGGCAGTCCCCCTGCAGCCAATCCCACAGGCTGAGGTGGTGGGGGGTCCCCACGGCCAATCCTGCTGACTTGCAACTGGCAGTGGCACAGTGCTGGCACTTCCAGGCACACCACTGGTACTTCCAAGTCAACAGTATCGGCCATGGAAGGACTGCTTCTCCTGGGGCACTCTCTAGCCAGTGCTCACCTGCCCCACCTGCCCAGGAATGCTGTTGTCAGGGGGTGCACCAGCACTCTCAGGGGGTGCATGTGCACCCCCTATGCATCACCACTGGCCTGGCGTTAATCCACGCCTACCCACAACAACTTCAGTTTCAACAATTGGCACTTCCTCCAAACCATGGGCACATCTATGGGCACAAAGATGGCCCCAAACTCTTCATGAGCAACTGGAGGAGGAATTTCTAGAAAAAAAATACACCATCAAATCTGCACTGTACCCATGTTACATAGATGATATTTTCATTATCTGCACTGAGCATCATCCCAAGCATACCAAAAAAGCTATAATCTACAGTCAGGCCCTCAGATACTACCACATCTGCTCTGAAGAGAACACTTGTTATACCCACCTTAAAATCCCATGGGGCTCCCCACAGGTGTGTGGTGAGACCCACAGGCCATGACTCTATACACTAGATTGGGCACACAGGCAGCATGAGACCTAATTCAGTGTTTGGAGCCAGATAGAGGCAGTGCAGGCCCCAATACCAGGATGTGGGGCTGGGCGGAAGAAACACAGGGCCCCAAAGCCTGATCCCAGCATGCAGGATGGAGCAGAGGCAGTGTTAGGCCCTGGGGCCCAATCCCAGCAAGTGGGACTGGACATAAGGGCAGAGGACTCTGATCCCAGCATGTAGGACCAGGAGGAGGTGGAATAGGTCCCCAGCCCCCTGATCCCAGCACGTAGAGCTGGATGCCCCAGAGCCCAATCCATAAGCATGTCTTATGTGCATCAAGCTAACAGTTCAAAATTAGTGCCAGTTCTGAAGTCTGGTTTTTACTCTCTGCATTTTTTGGTTACATTTTGGTTTTCTCTTCTGCCCCTGTGACTCCTAGGTACCACTCAAACCTTTGTCTGAAGACCCTCCAGTTCTCTTCTATATTCCCTGATAGTAGAAGGTTGCAACACTTCTATGACCAACATCATCAATATTTGTATAACATGCTGCACAAATCCACTTCATGAACAGCGCGAGCCCCTAGTGGCTGGGGGGACACGGCGGTGGCAGGAGCGTGACGATGGGAGTGCAGCAGCAAGTGCAGAGCTCCTGCAGATGCTGCCAGCACTGTTGGCAGGGGTGCATTGCCACACTCGGGGTGCATGTGCACCTGCGTGCATGCCCT